CTTAGCAGGAGGAAATGATACTCTTGAAATAGAACGAATTGGAACTGCGTACTTACTCGATGCAGACGGTAACACTATGATCTTTGAGAATTCCCTATACGTACCCTTATTAAACAAGAACCTCATTGCCGCCGGTGCTCTTATCAAAAAGGGGGTTGTACCGGTTATCCACCCCACCCAATCTCATATCTTCAGCCTCAATCTAGGAAAGAAGACTCTCTTTCGCGGTTTCTTCTCGGGAAATTTAATGGTGGTGAAGCTAATCGAGTGCCCTGTACGTCAAGTTTCCACTCAATCATCATCATCCGCTATCAACCAAGAATCTGACACAATCGAAAATCTCCACCACCGATTAGGCCACCCTAATTTCGCCTACCTCCACAAAATGATTAAAGAGAAACTTGTGGATGGGATATCGGCAGATTGTGATCTAAAGAAACCTGTAGAATGTATTGATTGTATCAAGTCTAAAAGTGAAAGACCACCTTTTTCTCACACCATACCTCGTGCTTCTACTAAGTTGGAAAATATCCATGTTGATCTTAGCGGAATTGTGAGAGGTTATGTCAATGATGGATACCTATATTATATCTTATTCACCAACGATTTCACTGGAATGTGATTTGTTTATTTTCTGAAATCAAAAGATAAATCGTCTGTTTTCAACGCTTTACATGCTTTTATCACTTTCGCTGAGCGCCAGAGCGAGAGAAAAGTAAAATGTTTCACGCTTGATCAAGGATCTGAATTCTTCAACAATCTATTTGTTCCTTACTGCAAAGAGAACGGTATTTGGCTTCATGAAACAGCCGCTTACACACCAGAGGAAAACGGTGTATCTGAAAGAGCCAACAAAACGATTACATACAAGTCAAGAGCATTACTCCAACATTCAAATCTGCCCCCGAGCTTCTGTTTCGAAGCAGTCAACACAACTGTATATCTTGATAATCGAACTATTTCCCTATCATATAATGATGGGATGAAGACACCATTTGAAGCATGGTATAATCGAAAACCATCCATCTCTCATATTCGAACATTCGGATGTGCTGTTGAATTCATCATCCGTAAAAGTCAACGTGACGGAAAATTTAACGCCATCACAAAGACGGGTGTACTCCTTGGTTTCACTACTGACAACTTCAATTATCGTATCTACGATCTTGAATCCAAAAAGATTATTGTTTCCCGCGACGTCAAATTCAGGGAAAACGTATTCCCTTTCAGAAAATCAATAAAGTTCAGTTATGAACATTTGTTTTCTAAGAACGAAATGAAAGAACTTAAGGAAACCAACCCAGACCTTGATCCCGTCATCGACTTAGATGATGATGACTACCCACCCTTATATCAAACACCCAAACAAGCCGACAAATCGCCGTTGATTGCTCAGGAGTCTGAACCTCCTAGAGCAAACACAAGACCAGTCATATCTTTGCAACCCAAGCTGCCTGAGGAGACTCCGAACAAGTCTGAACCTCCTTCGGATGTCAATTCACAGATCAAAACGACAACATTAACAAGCGAACCAACTATCAGACGCTCTACTAGAGAACATAGAGCACCTGATAGATATACCCCATCTTCCAATCACACCTTCTGGGCAGACATCACCGCATTCATAGCCAGCGATGATATTGACGCTTATGCATTCGCCACCACTCCGACTGTCAGACTCGTTAACAAACCAAAGACCTACAAGCAGGCAATGAAATCAGCTGAAAAGAATGAATGGATTGCCGCAATGAACAAAGAGCTAGATTCCATCAACCATAGAAAAGTTTGGACTATAGTCCATCGTCCAAAGGACCGAGCTGTTGTAGGTGGTCGCTGGGTCTATCGAGTTAAGCCTAACCTCGATGGATCCATTGCCAAATTTAAGGCAAGATATGTTGCAAAAGGATTCTCTCAGATACCTGGAGTTGATTACCACAAGACATACTCACCAACTGGCAAGCCAGCTTCTCTAAGAATCATTATAGCAATTGCCGCTTTGAATGGTTGGCCTATAGAATCAATGGATGCCATATGTGCATTTCTTAACAACCGTTTAGATTATGAAATATATATGGAATTACCTGAAAATTTGAAAGAACTTTATGACGAAGATATGGTCGCCTGTCTTGGAAGTACAATCTACAGCCTAAAACAATCTGCTAAGTATTGGAGTGACGATGTAACTGAATACCTTTTATCTATTGGTTTCAAACAGTCTGAAGCAGATGCTTGCGTATTTATCCGTATCTCAGAAAACGGATTAAAATTCACCGCCATGTATATTCACGTTGATGACATGGCTATCACCGGAAATGAAATTGCCACCATCAAGGAATTAATTGCCAAACGCTGGGAAATGGAGGATTTAGGTGTATCTCACTGCATTGTAGGAATTCAAATCTCAAGAACCTCTGAATTCTCATACGCAATCGGTCAACCTGCGATGATCAAAAGTGTTCTTGAACGCTTTGGGATGTCTCACTGCAAGCCTGCAAGCACGCCACTGGTTGCCGATCTTAAATTATCTCGTGCAAATGATTTTGAAGCCGCACAATTTATGAACGAAAACTTACCTTATAGAAATGGTGTGGGCTCATTAATGTATCTATCTCAATGCACCCGCCCAGACCTATTGTACGCAGTTGGCGTTCTGTCACAACACCTCGACCGGCCGTCTAAAGCCCACTGGAACGCATTCATTCACGTTCTTCGCTATCTGCGAGGAACAACCCATCTTTTTATTGAATACAATGCGGGAGATGGGGGACTTTCTGGAAACCAATCTTGGGACTGTCCATATGGATTCTCAGATGCCGACTGGGCAGGCAACAAAGACAATTGACGGTCAACGACCGGATACATTTTCAAATTTCTGGGGGGTGCGGTCAGTTGGAAAAGTAGACTTCAGCCGACCATTGCTTTATCAAGTACGGAGGCAGAATACCGTGCCACCACGGAGGCGGGTCAAGAAGCTACGTGGCTCCAAACGCTCCTCGCTTCACTTGGATTCAATATCACACACCCAACTCGCCTTCATTGCGATAACCTAGGAGCTATTCATCTCACATCAAAAAACCATATTCCATGCCCGAACCAAACATATTGAAATACAATATCATTGGATTCGGGAGCTTGTCAAGAAGGGAACAGTCGAACTCAAACACTGTAAATCACACCAAATGATAGCGGATGTCCTAACCAAACCCCTAGGGAAATCACCTTTTCAATTTCTACGACGGGCAATCAGACTACATCACAGAGACTCAACCACTTAGCTTATATCTTCTTTTACTTTATTTCCATATTTTTTTTTATTTTCTTATTTTTTTCATTTCAAGGCCTTTTCTTTCTTTTGCTTGTTGTGCTTGAGGGGGCGTGTCAGAATACAGTTATCATTTCAAACACAACAACCAAAACTGTATAACTCAATCAAACACAATACAAAACCTAATACACTCCACACGTCAAACCTAAACTTTATTTATCATCATTGTATCACATTTATATAGAACTGATGCCTCATACACGCCAATTTTCCTCATCAGTTCACTGAGGAAAACTGGCGTGTGAGTCCTTTTTCTCATACCTTCTCAGAATCCGAATGATTATTGTTGATCTCTTTTCCTATTGATTATATGTTGTTAGACCTCTTGATTTGTTCTCACTCACCTATTTAGGTGTGCTATTTTTGTTGTCTCCGGTGTTCAGAGCCGCGCAGACTCACACCCGCTTTCTGGTGTTATAAGGTGTGCTATTTTTGTTGTCTCCGGTGTTCAGAGCCACGCAGACTCACACCCGCTTTCTGGTGTTATAAGGTGTCTCGAGATTCTTTATCTTCTCTCAACTACAAGATATATAGATGCAAAAGACGTACCCCTGGGGATTTGCCCAGAGTCTTAAAAATGTAGTTTCATGTGATCTTATCTTTCTAAATTTCCTTGGTAAGTCTCCATCAGCTCACATGATTGTAAACATTATTGACCTGAGGTTTTCAATCACTCAAGAGATTCCAATAATCTAGATGAGAAGATATACTCCCAATAATGATATGTCTCTTTACTGAATCTAACCACATTTCAAGTAGTGATACTTAGTCTGACTTCTTTTTGAGTTGAGATGAATTGGAGCCTTTGAAATCAGAGTCAAATGGGGTTACTGGTTCACAAATTCAATTGAAAGCATTGATGGGCTGTTGTGTTGCAAAAAGCACACAATGTGTATCAACGCAGTGCATTGCTATGAGGTGGCAACACAGTGGTTAAGTCTGCTCCCAGTTGTGTTTCCCCATGTATACACCCTTGGTTTTTCTCCTGTTGTGCTGTGTTGCAGAGCAGCGCACCTGGAGCAGCTACAGGTTTAATTTGAACCTCTAGCACACTGATAAACCAAGGCTGATGAGACCATTGAGGTCGTTGGAAGAAAGCCATATATAATCAATGGCAAATGATGAAATAAATTTTAACATAATGGAGAGTGATGACAATTTATTCATATAGAGAAGGGTTCAATTTTTGTGACAAACAGTTTCCAAGAAAATCAAATTAGTCAAGTAGGCTGCCTTGTACAAATTTACCAGAATGATTCTTTCAGCTTGCTTGATTTGTGGATTGCAATTCATAACCTATTTGAACAAGAATACAACACAATAATGATCTTATTCCAGCATCAACATCAACATCAACATCAACAAGATTATTTTGGAACTATTGTACAAGTAACGAGCTACACACTATAAAAATCAGTCTTGAGTTTTCTCATGAAGATTTAAAGAATTGTCTCAGATAGCAAGAAGAATAAAAAAAGCCATGGATTGCGTCCATTTTTCACCATTCCCACAACAAAGTCTTGGATTGGTGTATCAACAGTAGCCATTGTGATAAATGAGAGTCCCCTTCATTTCTTGGGTACCCAGATAAGTCACTCATTAAATCTTTACAGTGAGACCTCAAGCCTTTTCTATCCACGAATATAAGTGGGCAATCTTGCTACTGCAATTGTCTGTGGGCGTCTTCTAATGGTTAGGAAATCTCGTTGTGGTGTTAAAGGCTCGCCTCTTGCAACGCCGTGAAAATATCGGTTCAATTCCGATCGCCCACAATTGCATGGCTTTTGTCAAGGCGTGAGCTGTTGCATCTCGTGTCACGCATGGCATCGCAGGTACAGGTAGTAGCGGGGTGGGATGCGATCCAAAAGGTGCATCATTCCTTTTTGGGTGGGAATGTTTTTGAATACATAACAGATAGTGACTAAGTGCCACCCTGGTCATTGGTTATTTCACTCATGGTTCTTGGCGTGGATTGGATTGGTAAGGTCTAAACACCTTCTTATACGCGCTATAAGATTATTGGAAGATCGTGGTTGAAAAACCATCTTACTATTGTGCCTGACAGCGGCGCACTCTACATAGTTGGAAAACGTGAGTAAACGAGATTGGAACGCAAATCTGAAAAGCTCGAAAAATCAGACTTATACGTCTTATGAACAACAAACATGGACGTCTTTACCTCTTGTTTACGATGTTTGTGGCTAGTTTGATGGTTCGACAAGTTGGATTAACTTCAGCTGATCAGCGCTATCAAGTCGAACACAAGACCGCGGTTTCCAGTAGTATGCTTATGCATCCTTGCAAGAGGATTGTGTAAAATTCTAGACTACGGTTGAAGATTGCGGACCTAGTTGAGGACTTTGCATCATTTACCAAGATATATAGCATTTGTGAAGACGCTGAGTGCTCAGATGACTATGATTGGACAGATTTGTGTCAAATAGTTTATCCTAAAGAGATGCAAGATTTCTCGTGTATCATTTTAGCAAGAGAGTCAGCGGCTCAGCCGACGTGTTTCTCGAAATGTACAATTGCAAGGATCGATGAAGTCATCGATATCATCTTGAAATCAGCCCCGGCAAGAATCGGCTATGGGATTGACTGACATACATGTACATACATGGGTTATCACAAGTGTACATACCATATCACATGTTGTATGAAATTTGAATAAGTTGTATCTCCGGGACGTGTTTGATCAAAAAGGCTGGAACTTTTTTCTTCACCAATCCCACTACCCTGCTTTTTGACTTCTCCATTCTCCAGTCAGTTACAAGAAGACAATGGCACAATTAACTCACCCTTCTGTCAAAGGTTAGTCCGTTCAATGGCCCCCGATGCTTCGATCCGATTCTTGCAAGGCATCTGAAAAGACCAAGTATGATGCTGATATTATCCTCCTTGCTCGCTTACAGATGGCTGGTTCAAGGAAGAAAGTCCCTTATGGCCTGGTCAAGCTATGTCTTTGCAAGTATGACCGATTACTCGCTTATTCGATCCAAATCCCGGAGGCTAATCAGAGGGAGCTTACTCGTATCATCTTTGCCTCCGACTAGGTGAAGAAAATTCTTCATGTGGAGAAGAGTAAGTTCCAAGACGTCCTTGTGTTCCAGTCGGTGGCGCACGGAAACGTTCTGGTGCTTGATGGCGCAATCCAATGCGTGGAGAACGATGAATTTAGGTTAGCATCCAGTTCTAACTGAGCGACCCAGAGCGAACTCAAGATCACTGAAAGATCCTCTTGATGCGCAAAACTTGATAGTTATCAGGAAATGATTGCGCATATACCCCTTAACTCTCATCCAAACCCTGAGCATGTCTTGGTGATTGGTGGTGGAGACGGAGGTGTATTACGAGAAGTTTTGAAGCATCCCTCTGTCAAAACGGCTGTCCTATGTGATATTGATGAAGCAGTTCCCCGAGTTTCGAAAGATTACCTCCCACATATGGCTGCCGGATTTAACGATCCTCGTGTGACTCTTTTCATCGGAGATGGCTTCCAGTTCTTGAGAGACCAAGTAGGAAAATTCGATGTCATCATCACCGATAGGTAAACTTCCACTTCTCTCCAATCAATCAATCACTATTGACTTACGCAATTGTATTCACTCATAGTTCCGATCCAAACGAAGGTCCAGCACAAACATTGTTTGGGATGCCATATTTCCAACTTTTGAAGAATGCCTTGAGACCGAATGGTTCGATCTCAACCCAGGGAGAATGTATCTGGTTGCACTTGCCGCTCATCCACTCTTTGATTAAAGGATCAAAGGACCTCTTCCCACAAGTCGAATACGCTTATACTTCGATCCCGACTTATCCCAGTGGAACCATCGGCTTCGTTGTTTGCTCCCTGGACAAAGACCGGAACCTAACGAAGCCACTTCGACAGGTCCGCAACACTCGGTACTACAACAAGCGTGTACACGAGGCTGCATTTGTTTTACCCGAGTTCGCCCGTGCTACTATCGCTGCTGCGAAAGCCGGTGAAGCTGCTCCCGCTCAACAGAGCACAGTTCCTGCCGTCCTCACACCCGCCAAGAAGAAAATCCTCCTCCTTGGGTCTGGTTTTGTTGCGCAACCCGCAGCAGATTACATCCTTCGCCGATCCGACAACGAGTTGACGATTGCTTGTCGTACACTAGCCACTGCCAAGTCTCTTGCGGAAGAATTAGCTAGAGATGCCAATTACATCTCGCTTGACATCACGGATACTGCTGCCTTAGACCGAGCGGTGTCAGAGCACGACTTGATCATCTCTTTGATACCATACATACATCATGCAAACGTCATCAAGAGCGCAATCAAATACAAGAAGAATGTCGTCACAACAAGCTACGTCAGTCCAGCGATGAGAGCCTTGGATCAGGAGGCTCAGCAAGCTGGAATCACGGTGCTCAACGAGATCGGACTTGACCCCGGAATCGATCATTTGTACGCCGTCAAGACGATTGATGAAGTTCATCAAGAAGGTGGCAAAATCACTGGCTTCATCTCCTACTGCGGTGGTCTACCTGCTCCTGAGAGCTCGAACAACCCATTAGGATACAAGTTCTCATGGTCATCGAGAGGAGTCCTTCTGGCTCTTTTAAACTCTGCTAAGCTCTATTCCAAGGGTAAACTCATTGAGGTTGCAGGTCAAGACTTGATGAACCACGCCAACCCTTACTTCATTTCACCGGCTTTCGCTTTTGTGGCTTATCCAAATCGAGATTCGACACCATTCAGAGAATTCTACTCTATCCCTGAAGCTGAGACTGTTGTTCGTGGAACGATGAGATATCAAGGATTCCCAGCTTTCATTAAGACTTTGGTTGATATCGGGTTCCTCAATGAAGCTGACCAAGCTTACTTGAAGCCTGACGCGCAAATCAGTTGGAATGAGGTCACTGCTCGAGTTCTCGGAGCTTCTGATTCGAGTGAGAACACATTGATCGAAGCCATCAAAGCTAAAACCACGTTCCCCACCGAAAGTGAGGCCGAGCGAATTTTATCTGGTTTACGATGGATCGGAGTCTTTGGTCAAGAGAAGGTTATTGCACGTCGAAGTATCTTGGATACTCTTTGTGCCACTTTAGAGCAAAAGATGGCTTATGGCAAAGGAGAGCGTGATATGGTGATGCTTCAACACAAATTTGAAATTCAACTCAAAGATGGATCTAAGGTCAGTTTGATCAATAGCTACCTGAAATTCAAAAATATTGATTTCGGTCGTTATCGGTTCTTCATGACAGCAAACTCGAACCTCGACCCTTCTTGAATATGGTGCACCATTCCACACCGGGGAGGGACCTTCTGCAATGGTGAGTAACTTTTCAATCCATTCTCCAGTTGAACCGTATTGACCAGATAGCTTTTTTGGAATCTAGGCCAAATTGGTCGGTGTGCCTTGTGGAATTGCCGTCCAATTAATTTTAGATGGTGTCATCAACAAACGCGGAATTTTGGCACCATATACCCGTGATATTGTAGATCCACTTCTAGCAGAAGTTGAAAAGGAAGGTATCACTATGATTGAAGCCATCCTATAAGACTAAAGGGGCCCAAGCCTACCATATATCTCTCATCAAATGTGAATCGAGTTTTTCTATATATATATATCTCATTGTCTTGCAAGATACCTTGTTGATCGGTTTGTATTAGTGGAACGTGCATTTTGTAGCTCACAATACTAACGAACTTCAAATATCAGCGAGCTTCTCATGTGTCGAAAGATGATACATTGTACCAGCTCCTTTTTTTCTCGTTTACAAAGATTTGGATCCCTTTTGACGAGTTACATATTTCTACCAGGTAGAATCTTGATACCTGTGGCTAAGCTGAGTCTGATAGTTTTGTATAGCTTTGAACTGAAATGATTGGCATTATGAAACAGTTCAAGATCAGTTGAGCATGATGTGTAAGACAGACTTATATCAAAGCCAAAGAAAAACAAAAGTAACTACAATTGCAGTTTTGTGAACACGTGAGCATGTCTAACAGTCACATATATCATATCAAGTTTACAACAAGCCATTCAATCGTTTTGATATGACCATGTCAGTTTCAATATGTGATTGTGTTCAACAAACCTAAGAACTATTTGAAGTTTCACACCATCGCGTTTTTACCACAATCCTTGATAAAGAAACTCACCTGTGATTTTTTCACTTTATAGAATTACCTTGAAGCTTTTCTGCGTCCCTAAAATCAAACTCTATTTGGTAACTCACAAGCATAAAGACCATTTAGCTGTAAATCTGATAGATAGATTTCAAGCCCGGACGTCATGATCTCCTTTACTTCGTCTCTCACTCATCTAGAGCCCCAAGGATGAAAGATTTGATTAGTTTATATCTTGATTGTCTCCAGGAACGCACCCTATTTCACTACGACGACCTTTTGGGGGTGGCCAAGGATCGTAATCAGAGTTGAGATATATATCTACAAACCAATGCGATATCACACTAAGTATGTTATGGCATGATATGAACTGTTTCAAATCGCATTACATATTAAAGTATTATATAATAATGTTATGCACATTGTATGACATCATAGATAAGATTTTCTATTTATCTTTCTCTTTTTCTTATTCATTTCTCTTCTTTCTCAATTTTTTATAAGAATTATTAATTCGACAAAATCATAAAAATAAAATCTCTTTAATTCTTCTCTTTCTCTATTTTATTAGTTAGTTATATTTTTATTCTTTGTTCTATTTTAAACTCAATTCTACACGACAACCTCCTCAACTATAAGGCTTTACTTTGAATCAAACTCAACTCTTATT